TTATTGTAAAATTCAGACTTAAACTGCAGAAAGTAGGGAAAACCATCAGACCATTCAGTTATGACCTAAATAAAATCCCTTACGATTATACACCGGAAGTGACAAATAGATTCAAGGGATGAGATCTGATAGACAGAGTGCCTGAAGAACTATGGATGGAAGTTCATGACACTGTACAGGAGGTGGTGATCAAAACCATCCCCAAGAAAAAGAGATGCAAAAAGGCAAAATGGTTGTCTGAGGAGAACTTAGCTGAGAAGTGAAAGGCAAAGGTGAAAAGGAAAGATATACCCATCTGAATGCAGAGTTCTAAAGAAGAGAAAGGAGAAATAAGAAAGCCTTCCTAAGTGAACAAGGCAAAAAAATAGAGGAAAACAATAGAATCGTCAAGACTAGAGATCTCTTTGAGAAAATTAGAGATACCAAGGGAATATTTTCATGCAAAGATGGGCACAATAAAGGACAGAAATGGGATGGACCTAACAGAAGCAGAAGATATTAAGAAGAGGTGATAAGAATACACATAAGAACTATGCAAAAAAGACCTTAATGACCTAGATAACCATGATGTGATCATTCAACTAGAGCCAGACATCCTGGAATGCGAAGTCAAGTGGGCCTTAGGAAGCATCACTATAAACAAAGCTAGTGGAGGTGATGAAATTCCAGTTAAGCTATTTCAAATCCTAATAGATGATGCTGTTAATGATGCACTCAGTATGCCAGCAAATATGGAAAACGCAGCAGTGGCCACAGGACTGGAAAAGCTCAGTTTTCATTCCAATCCCAAAGACACACAATGCCAAAGAATGTTCAAGCTACCGCACAACTGCATTCATCTCACACGCTAGCAAAGTAATGCTCAAAATTCTCCAAGCCAGACTTCAGCAGTATGTGAACCGAGAACTTCCAGATGTTCAAGCTGGATTTAGAAAAGGCAGAGGAACCAGAGATCAAATTGCTAACATCCGCTGGATCATAGAAAAAGCAAGAGAGTTCCAGAAAAACATCTACTTCAGCTTCATTGACTATGCCAAAGCCTTTGACTGTGTGGATCACAACTCACTCAAAAAAATTCTTCAAGAGATGGGAATACCAGACCACCTTCTCTGCCTCCTGAGAAGTCTGTATGCAGGTCAAGAAGCAACAGTTAGAACTGGACATGGAATAACAGACTGGTTCCAAACTGGGAAAGGAGTACGTCAAAGCTGTATACTGTCACCTTGCTTTTTAACTTATACGCACAGCATATTGTGTGAAAAACAGGACAGGATGAAGCACAGATGGAATCAAGATTGCTGGGAGAAATGTCAATAACCTCAGATACTCAGATGACACCACCCTTATGGCACAAAGCGAAGAGGAACTAAAGGGTCCTTTGATGAAGGTAGAAGAGGAGTGAAAAAGCTGGCTTAAAATTCAACATTCAAAGAATGAAGATCATGGCGTCCAGTCCCATCACTTCATGGCAAATAGATGGAGAAATAATCAAAACAGTGACAGACTTTCTTTTCTTGGGCTCTAAAATCACTGCAGATGGTGACTGCAGTCATGAAATTAAAAAACGCTTGCTCCTTGGAAGGAAAGCTATGACCAACCTAGACAGCATATTAAAAAGCAGAGGCAGTACTCGCTTCGGCAGCACATATACTAAAATTGGAACGATACAGAGAAGATTAGCATGGCCCCTGCGCAAGGATGACATGCAAATTCGTGAATCGTTCCATATTTTTGCAATAAAGCTTCATGAATGTAAAAAAAAAAAAAAAGCAGAGGCATTACTCTGCCAACAAAGGTCCACCTAATCAAAGCTATGGTTTTTTCAGTAGTCATGTATGGATGTGAGAGTTGGACTATAAAGAAAGCTGAGTGCTGAAGAATTGATGCTTTTGAACTGTGGTGTTGGAATAGACTCTTGAGAGTCCCTTGGACTTCAAGGAGATCCAACCAGTCCATCCTAAAGGAAATCAGTCCTGAATATTCATTGGAAGGACTGATGCTGAAGCTGAAACTCCAATACTTTGGCCACCTGATGAGAAGAACTGATTCATTGGATAAAACCCTGGTGCAAGGAAAGACTGAAGGTAGGAGAAGGGGACAACAGAGGATGAGATGGTTGGATAGCATCACTGACTCGATGGACGTGAGTTTGAGCAAGCTCTGGAAGTTGGTGATGGACAGGGAAGCTTGGCGTGCTGTAGTCCATGGGGTCGCAAAGAGTAAGACACAACTGAGCGACTGAACTGAACTGAAGAAAAGTCAAAGACACAAGAAATGGGGAATTTCCTGGTGGGCTATTGGCTGTGACTTAGTGTTTTCACTGCCAGGGCCCTGGTTCAATCCCTAGTCAGAGAACTAAGACCCCAGAAGCTGCGTGGTGTGGCTTAAAAAAAAAAGATAAAAGAATGAAGCAAAAAATCCTTCTCCTAAATTAAGCTCTCATTTAAGAGTAAACTAAAGCTTTAATAACAAAAGGTAAAATTCCTATGCTGAGTTTTCCTGATCTTTTTCTTTCAGTTTTATTGAGCTATAATTGGCATACAGTACTGAAAGTTATGACCAACCTAGACAGCATATTAAAAAGCAGAGACATTACTTTGCCAACAAAGGTCCGTCTAGTCAAGGCCATGGTTTTTCCAGTGGTCATGTGTGGATGTGAGAGTTGGACTGTGAAGAAAGCTGAGCACCAAAAAATTGATGCTTTTGAACTGTGGTGTTGGAGAAGACTCTTGAGAGTCCCTTGGACTGCAAGGAGATCCAACCAGTCCATCCTAAAGGAGATCAGTCCTGGGTGTTCATTGGAAGGACTGATGCTGAAGCTGAAACTCCAATACTTTGGCCACCTCATGCGAAGAGTTGACTCATTGGAAAAGACTCTGATGCTGGGAGGGGTTTGGGGCAGGAGGAGAAGGGGACGATAGAGGATGAGATGGCTGGATGGCATCACCGACTCAATGGGCATGAGTTTGAGTAAACTCCGGGAGTTGGTGATGGACAGGGAGGCCTGGTGTGCTGCGATTCATGGGGTTGCAAAAAGTCGGACACAACTGAGCGACTGAACTGAACTGAAATTTTAAGGTACACAGCATAATTGCTTGATTTACATATATTTTTACATATATTGCAAACTTACTACAATGATAAATTTCATTTACATCCATGACTTCTTATAGTTATATGGGGGGAGGGTGTTTCTTGTGATGAGAACTTTAGGATCTATCTCCTAGCAACTCTCAAACACAGCATACAATAGTGTTAACTACAGTCACCATACCGTACATTACATCCCCACTACTAATCTTTTAACTGAAAGTTCGTATCTTTTGACTACCCTCATCCATTCCTCATCTTCTAAGCCCCTGCCTCTGGTAACCATAAAGTTGATCTCTTTCTCTTTTTCTAGAACTGTCATTTCAAGTCATTTAAAAACCCACCTAAAATGTAAAGGTTTGTTTGTCAAGAACTATAAACTATGTTTAGATAATGAAAATAAATCATAAAATATGGCTAGTATAGGAAATGATCAGCTATAAACTGTATTTGTTCAATTAATTTCTCCACTACAATACACAATGCCAATCCATGGCTGATTCATGTCAATGTATGGCAAAAACCACTACAATACTGTAAAGTAATTAGCCTCCAACTAATAAAAATAAATGAAAAAAAAAATACACAATGCCATAAGACAAGTACTAGGAGAAAAAAATAAGTGACAACATACTACAACATAGCCATTCTGATGTTTGAGTATATAAAAGCAACAAATAATTTCAAATATGAAAGCATCCAGGGAATACAGAATCCAAACCCCTCCTTAAACTTTTAAACAAAAAAAACGCACTTTAAAAAGAAATAAAAAAGAATTAGTACTAAACCTGGAATCCAACTACACACAGGACTAAGCTAAACAATAGGAGTGGCGGGACATGAGGCAGAGAGATGACTATAGATTTCTAAAGAAGATTAATTAATATAAGCAACAAAATTCAGGAGGGAGAGGGCATTGTAGGGGGAAGACGTTTAAGAGAGACAATTACCTCATTTTTCAGAGTAGGGAGCAATTTGTAACATTCAAATTTAAGACAAAAATTCAGTTTCTCAATAATTTATTTAATTTCTTTGGTCTTAGAAAGGCTGTTCAGGATCTCTTAAAGTGAAGAACAATATCCAGAATTAGCAGTTCATATAGTTTTGGTTTATTTTTTAAATGTTTCATTCAAATAAAATTAAAGTTAATATTCAACTCTTAAAACTCATGTATTGTATTTTATACACTCAGGTATTATATAATTTTAATAATTTCACTTTAGTTTTATTTTCTAATTAATTAAATTACAAAAATGTTCAATATATAGTCCTATCCTTTAAAAAAAAATCCAGGTGGGAGGGGGGACCGGGATGGGGAATACATGTAAATCCATGGCTAATTCATTTCAATGTATGACAAAAACCACTGCAATGTTATAAAGTAATTAGCCTCCAACTAATAAAAATAAATGGAAAAAATTAAAAAATAAAAAAAAATCCATTCATTTTTCTAGTCAATCACCTACTATTCCACTAAACATACAAACAGAGAATTACCTGGATTGTTAATCAAATGCCAACTACTTATTTCTGAGGGATTTAGACTTTAGGTAATTCATTGCCTTCTCTCTTTACTTTTCTGTATTATTTGGACCTTAAACAAACATGCACTGTACTTATAAACAGTCTTTTCTTTTAGTCAGAAAAACAATTATTTGACCATTATGATCTTTCTCTAGAGTTTTACTAGCTGTAAGAGTCAGTCCAGTAAGAATATCTTTTAGCCTAGCCAAAAAAAAAAAAAACCCACAATGCAGAAGTGCAACTGTATCAACAAGGACACAAAACCTTAATGGAAGGTTTTCAGGTTTGAAAATTTTCTCTCTTCAGGCTCAGCAGTACCTGACTGAATGGACCCTACCAACAACAGATATATGGTATCTGTGAAACACACCCCTAAAATCTCATACCTTCACAACAGGATGTCCCCCAGTAGATGCTTTAACTGCTCCTCGGCTACCTTCAGTCTCATAATGGGCTCGGTGATGAGTTTTAGGTTGCACTTCTATTTTCAGTTCACATTGTCCAAAATGAGTTGGTAAAGGCCAGTCTAGTGGAGGTAATGAAGATGTGCTACAAACAAAACACACAAAGACACATTTCACCATGCTATTATTGCCAGCCAAGCAGTGATTCAAATTATTTCTTTGAAGGTGCCAACATTTCTTCCTATGATCTTTGAAGTAAAGTATTTAAAAAATAAAATTTAAAGAAAAAGAAAAAAAACACAAAACTTCACTTAATAAGTTGTAACACTGGACACAGAGGGTGTTTTAAAAATAATTAACCTGATAATAAAATCAATTTTATTTATTTTTTGGTGTCTATTCTTTTTTTAAAAAAGGACAAATTCTAATATTTCATTAAAAATAAAAAATTCCATAAAACTGTAACTATTTCTCAACTGTGTGTATAACCACAAAAACAATCAAAACAATTTTTAAATAGCTTAAAGGGGACAGGTTCATTTAGATACATTAACAATGAAAATATGGAATTAGAAAAAAAACAACTTCTAAGTCTATAGGTCAAATATTGATGGACCCAAAGCTAGAATGATTTGTATTAAAAAGTAATATCTTCTATTTTAAAAAATACCTTAATAATTGCTGAAATAAGACTTTACACATCTTTTCTACCTTTGAATGCTACCATGCCTACAGTAGATTTCTAAGTTATTTCATTGCTTCCCTTAATATCCTCAGCCTAGCATTACCAGCTATTCTGAAGCTGAATGGTACTAATTTTTATTAGTCTAAAACAACTCAACTTCATCAACTCTCAGCAAGTTTCTGCACTTGTTTAAGCAAATCCCTAAAAAGATTAAGATAATTTTCAGAAGCAAAGTGATGGGTTCAAAGGAGTCTTCAATACCATAATTCCACATTATAATTTTCTAAATATCTAGATTCAGAAATAAACATTTGTACCAATAACAAAGCATTTTTTTAAAAAGTAAACAGACCCACCTCTGTGTGGGGATTTAACACATGATACGTTTGTCTTCCCTAATCAATTATAGATTAGATTGATTCTAAAAATGGCACTGTGATAACTGATAAGCCATTTAGAAAACAGTCATTACAACAGTCTTCAGTCCTTAGCTGGACTCAAGATTCGAAAATATATACATATGTACAAATACAAACAGTATATATGTTACATACATATATTATAAAAATTATACATAAAATTTAGAAATGTGAAAGTTAGATTTTCTCTGTATTTGCAGTTATTTTAGAGTGGGACAGGCTTTCAAATATAACATAAAATCTAAAAGCTGTGAAGGAAAAGACAAATTTGAATATATAAAATTTAAAAATTTCTCTAAACCAACAACAAAAATCACAAACTTATATGAAGTCTAAAGACGAAATAAATTATAGAAAAAAAAAAAAACTTGTCACAAAATAAAAAAGCCAAATTTCACTTGTATATTGAGTTCTTAAAAATATAAAAATTCAAAAATATATATATAATATAAACCTTATCCCTAAGTGGGAATAATCAGTAATTTAATTTATACTATTATCTTTTATAAGAAGCTTTAGTGGATAAGAAAATTCATTCTGAAAAACAAATTCATTCTAGGGCTTCTAATGCAATTTGTTATTATTTACAATTCATTATACACTTTTAAAGACACTTTATTTTATACACTTTTATTTAAAGACACTTTTAAGACTAAAAGGAAAATAAATGTGGTCTTTTAAGTTGTCTGGAAGAAACTAAAGAAAAAAAAGGAGGAAAGACGGTCAAATTATTCTACATAGATAACATAGTAATTACATGCCACCAATAAACATAAACATGAAAAATGACCGTCAGTCATTTCCATCAACTCACCGAAATATAGGGGTGTGACCAGGCTTTGGTTTGCTCCAGGTAAAGGGTGAAGGAACTGAAAGAAATTGGTCACCAGATGAATCTTTCTTTAAAGGATACTGAGATCCAAGGCCATCATCTATTGAAGTTTCCCGCGATGGTGAAAGATTCCCTTGGTCATCTGAACAGAGCTCTAATTTTCCTGGTAGTACGAGAGCTTGATCTTCAGAAGTCTTCCGTGTTTTCAGAGGAATATCAGTTTCTGCACAGTACTGAAATGGAAAAATCGCAGGGCCAAGGCCTGATCCACCCTGGACAGGAGCATTGAGCCAGGTATCTTCTGTTACGCTTCCCCTGGGGGAGTGACCAGGAGAAGGAACAGGCGAATGATGCGGTGAAAGGGACCCAGCGTAACAAACCTCAGCACTAGAGTGCCGCCGTTTCCCACAAGGGGAAGTAGGCCTTGATGAGGGTCCTGAGGCTGGCCTGGGGCTCAGCCAATTCTCATCAGTGATACTAGATCTAGGAGAGTGGCAAGGAGATTGCCTAGGTGACAAGGAATGTCCAAGTCCATACTGTTGATGCCAGGACTCTTCTCCAGGGCAGCCTCCTGGAGAGCCACCAGGAGAAGTCAGAGGGGATCCGAGAGTAAATCGCGCAGCAGCTTCATTCAACTCCGAATCCACATCATCATAAATATGTGAAAGAGATTCACAAGAAGACGCATCTGAAAACCAGCTCCTAGAAGAGATGCTACTGGCAGGACTAGGACTAAGGGAAGATTCCCGGTAGGATGGCTCAAGAGGAAGATAGAGATGATCTCTAGAAGGCCTTTCCAAATATTCCCTTTCTGGGTCATTTATGTGTAGGTCATCTTCATGAGCATCAATTTCTTGATGACAGTTAGGAGAGATGGATGTAATTTGAATACTTGGGCACTCAAAGGGTTTGGGACCACTTAATGGGCTGTATTTAGATTCAGGAATTTCACAAGTTCCTTCATAGTTTTTGTGACCTTGCAGCTGAAACGATGGTGACAAAACAGAAGAGTGAGACGGTAATCCATGATGTGGTAAGCAAAGTGGTGAGTTTAAAGTAGATGGAGGTGGATCTACATTAAAGATGTAAATGGATGCACAATCATCTGGCTCAAGATCTATGGGGGTTGGGGGGGAGCAAAAAAGAAAAATAATTAACAAAACAAGAAATTAGAAATTTTAGCTGTATAAATTACTAGATGAGAATGTAAATAATAATAATCTTGAGAGAAGAGAGTGAAACAAAAAATGTACATCATTAGCTCCACTAAAGAGTGGTGTGTCTGTGTGTTTTAATGTATCTGTGGATACATGCAATTATCATGTTTTATGCAATTTTTTCTTTTTATTTCCACATTTTTCTAAAATTGAGAATCTGAAAACAATAAATGCTTTTATAAAAGAAATAATCACATTAATAATTCTAAAAAATGTCCACAAAACTATATAATGATATGATCATATAAAGTCAGCCTCATCTGGAGTCAGCAGGTAAAAATGAAGTAAATAAAGGATAAAGCAGAGTTTTTGAAAAGTTTTTAATTGTAAGTATACACACTAGTTTATTAACGGAAAGGATGTGTTATTGTTTTTAGTCGTCACGTCGTGTCTGACTCCTTGTGACCCCCTGGACTGCGACACACCAGGCTTCCCTGTCCTTCACTATTTTCTGGAGTTTGCCCAAATTCATGCCCACTGAGTAGGTGATGCTATCTAACAATCTCATCCTCTGCCACCCTCTACTCATTTTGCCTACAATCTTTCCCAGCATCAGGGTCTTTTCCAATGAGTCAGCTCTGGCTATCAGGTGGCCAAAGTACTGGAGCTTCAGCTTCAGCATCAGCCCTTTCAATGACTATTCAAGGTTCATTTCCTTCAGGATTGACTGGTTTGATCTCCTTGCAGACCATGGGACTCTCAAGAGTCTTCTCAAGCACTACACTGCAAAAGCATCAATTCTTTGGTGCTCAGCCTTTCTTATGGTCCAACTCTCACATCCATACATGACCAATGGAAAAACCAGTAGATTTGACTATATGGACCTTTGCTGACAAAGCAATGTCTTCGCTTTTTAGTATGATATCTAGGTTTGTCATAGCTTTCCTTCCAAGGAGCAAGCGTCTTTTAATTTCATGACCGCAGTCACCATCCACAGTGATTTTGGAGCCCAAGAGAATAAAATCTGTCACTGCCTCCACTTTTGCCCTTCTATTTACCATGAAGTGATGGGACCGGATGCCATGATCTGTTTTTTGACTGCTGAGTTTTAAGCCAACTTTCTCACTCTCCTCTTTCACCCTCATCAACAGGCTTTTTAGTTCCTCTTTGTTTTCTGCCATTAGAGTGGTATAATCTGCGTATCTGAGGTTTTTGACACTTTTCCCAGCATTCCTGATTCTAGCTTGTGATTTATCCATCCTGGCATTTTGCATGATGCATTTTGCATGTAAGTTAAATAAGCAGGGTGATAATATACAGCCTTGACATATTCCTTTCCCAATGTCAAACCAGTCAGCTGTCCCATGTAAGGTTCTAACTGTTGCTTCTGGACCCACATACAGGTTTCTCAGAAGACTGGTAAGGTAGTCTGGTGTTTCCATCTCTTCAAGAATATTCCAGTTTGTTGTGATCCACATAGTCAAAGGCTTTTTTGTAGTCAATGAAGCAGATGTTTTTCTGGAATTCCCTTGCTTTCTCTATGATCCAATGAATGTTGGCAATTTGCAACACTGGAGGGACAGAACAATCAGTTTCTTCAATCAAGATGTTACTTTTAAATTCAGTGTAATTTAGGGACTTCCCTGGTGGTCCAGGGGTTGAAACTCCATACTTCCAGTGCAGGGAGTATGGGTTCGACCTCTGGTTGGCTGCGTGGTGTGGACAATAAATAAAGTTTTTTTTAAATTTAGTGCTATTTAGGATTGAAATGATTCTGTATGAAATACAATGTTTGCAGGCTGCAAAAGACAGAAAACTGAACTCAAAAATAGCTGAAGGGGAGGGTGATATTTATCATTTAACAATAACACAAGGTCCAAAGGTAGAACAGTATTGGTTATTTCTTCAGTTCAACAACAGTTTCTTTCCACATTCCCATTTTGCCAGTCCTAACTTTGTCCTACTCACTTTTCAATCATCTATGCGTATTTTGCCCTAAAGCCAAAAGTAATGTGATCATTCAGTTAAATATTTTTCGAGTAGGTACTATATAGCAGACATGTTGCAGACACTGAAAACATATGAGTAAACAAAACAAAGTCCCCATCCTCTTAGAACTTACATTCTAGTAAAATGTCAGATGGCTATATTTGCTATAAGGAAAAATAAAAGAGAGTAAGGAGAATGGAGTAAGTAGGAGGGGAAGTTAATTTGGATAGGTTAGGAGACTGACAAAAACAAAAATTGTAATTATTACTAAGTAGGGGGAAACAGTCTAAAGAAGGAACCTATTTTACAGAGAGTACTGGGATGGCCTTTCTGAGAAGACAGCACAGGAACCAGCAAGCAAAGAAAAGGGAGGTGGTGGTGGTGGAGAGGCAGGGGTATACAAGCTTCAGCACCAGGGCAGCTCCAACGCCACTGGGCAGCACAAGCAAACAGCGAGTCAGGTGAGACCTTGGCTTCTCTGAGGAAATGAAAGGCCCAACTATGCTAGAGCTAGCTAACCACCGAAAGGGGAAAACTGAGAGAGGCAAAACCTAGAAGGATCATGGTAAAGAGTTTAAATATTATTCTAAGGATAATATAAACCACCAAAGTTTTAAAAAGGGAATGACATGATCTCTACTATATTTGAGGATAATTTCATTCCTAGATACTACAGTAGACCTAGGACTGACCAGAACAGGAGGGTTTCATTTTTTTGGATCAAGAATTTAAAATGGCAGATTAAAAAAACTCACCCCTGTAGTTGCATAAAAATGGGATTATACTTAATGCTACTAAACTATATACTTATAAACGGTTAAGATGGTAGATTTTATGCTATGTATAGTTTACTAAAATTTTAAAAACAAAAATACAAAAAACTGCTGGTACCCTGGTTCAAAGCAAGACAGCAGCACCCAACTATACAAAGTCACTGAATTCTTCACTACCATACTCTCATAGTTAAAACAAAACTCAGTTTTACTTAGAAATGTACTTAATATTTACTTAGAAATGTACTTAATAAAGTAGCAAAAATTATCAATATATTAAACTTGAAGCCTTTGAGTGGGAAAAAAAAGGATGAGTGAAAAGAGAATAAAGTTACCCTTGGAAGACATGGGTTCATTCAAATGTAATTATTGTACCAGTGCCATTTTGTGTTGAATAATGCTGAAACTCACATCCTTCACACAAATAAACTGCAGATGAAGTGACATATTTTTATATCAGAATGATGTCTTAAAAGCACTGAGATTTGCATACAAAATTTCGGGGAGTGCTGTTTTATCTTTTTTCCTAAGTGTCACCAAAGCCCACATTCTGGAAATGATAAGAGTGGCCACTACAATCTCCCTATGATAAACAGTTCTACATCTAGATTTCCAACTCTAGAATTCTCAAATTCATGGTGCTTCAGAAATTTGACCATCTCAAGACTTATTTGCTCCCTTCAGCCACCAGGGGGCCCCAGGCAAGCATGCAGTAATCTGGGCAACACAGGTTGCCTACAAATGTATTTAAACTGTAAAGCAGGCACTGGCAGAATACAGCCCACAGGCCAAACCTAGCCTACCACCTGTTTCTGCACGAGCTACAAGCTAAGAATGGCTTTCAAATGGTTGGAAAAAAGTCAAGATAATATTGTTTAATGACACAAAATAATATGAAATTCAAATTCTGGTATCCACAAATAAAGCTTTATTGGAATATAACCATGCTCATTCATTTATGTACAGCCTATGGTTAGTCTTACAGAGCAATGGTAGGGTTGAGGAGCTGTGAGAGATGTTTCCCACTGTTACGTGATGCACTAGCAAATTGCTGTGACAAACTGGACAGCATTCTGAGTGCAATGTATACTGATGTATTGCAACATTTTTAAAAACTTACCAGTGAAAGGACTTCCTGGTGGTCCAGTGGTTAAGAAACCACCTTGCAATGCAGAGGATACAGGTCTGATCCCTGGTGAGGGAACTGAGATCCCACCTGCTGCAGAGCGACTAAGCTTGAACATGTCACAATTACTGAGCCTGAGCTCTCTGGAGCCCACGCACCACAACTAGAGAGTCAGCACCCCACAACGAAAGATCCTGCATGTCACAGCCAAGGCCCAATGCAGCCAAATAATACTAAAAAAAAAAAAATTCGGGCGTACGGGAAGTAAAAAAAAAACAAACAAAAAACTTGTCAGTGCATAGGTTATCACTAAAAAACAGGAAAGAGAAGAGTGGACTTCAAATTGAATGCCATGCTTCTAAGGCACAATGGAGTGTGGGCTATTTTCTTATCAAATTAGAGGGCAAAGCATCATGTTTATTGTGCAACAACATTATGGCTGTGCTGTAAGAATACCTTATACACCAGCACGACCAATAAAGCATTCACCACAATACTCCCAACGTACAGGAAAACAAAAGAATAAAAAATTAGAAAAAAACAGAATATCTTATTACAGCAAGATTTCTTCACAAGAAGAAAGGTTAAAATGAGGCTGTAACCAAATAAAGTTTCTGAATGGTTCACTTGTCAGGTAGGCAAAGAAAGCCATTTACGAATGGTGAATCTGTGTCTGATTGCTGTGACTGAAGAAATGTCAGAGAAAATAAACTGGTAAAGACCATCAGCAAGAACGACTGAAAGACTGAAAACACTGGTAGCAACAAGAAGCAATTACAAAACAAGGCAAAAAGTTCCAAGGTTTTCCTTGGCCCCTGACGTGTAACCCAATCTTACTGATTCTACTTATTTATTATTTACTCGAAGACTCAATGCAGAGTTTACTGAAGAATTATTAGCCTCCTATGAATAGTTTGCATAAGCTTCCCAGGTGGCTCAGTGGTAAAGAATCTGCCTGCCAATGCAAGGAGATGCCAGAGACACAGGTTCTATTCCCTGAGTCGGGAAGATCCCTTGGAGAAGCAAATGGCAACCCATGCCAGTATTCTTGCATGCGAAGTCCCATGGACAC